ATTTTATTTTTTCCATTTTTGAATATGGCTTGCATATGATTCTTTCAGTATCTATCCAGTCCAGTGTCTCACTGTGGTAGGCCTGGCTTTGAATGTTAAAAAAATGGCCCGTGCTAGCTTTCACAATCTGCTCTACAGTGTTAGATGTGGGAAGGGTATTGGAGTCAGTCTCTCTGCCACCTCACTATCATAGTTTCAGTGACTCAGTACACAGGTACTGGTCTTATGGTAGGGTTCCTGGGCTGCCTGCCTGCTATTTGGTTACACTGTGATGGTTTGGGTTTCAAATGTTTTTCAGTCTATGATTTAGGTTTAATTTCTTCTCCTTCTTTCAAGCCAGAGACATCTTTGTGGATACTTCCCTGCTTGGATTTGGGGACAATGTGGTACAGACAACTCTTCTATTTGCCTGCTCTAGAGCATCTTTTCATTTTGTTATAAAAATGGTTTCTCATCTAGTAGCCTGAGCTCTTGGTTAGAGTAATATTGTACATGAATAACTGTCTGCTTTGCTGTATCTTTGGAGAGATTGCTAACAGAGGAAATTTCTAAGACACTCTCTTGCTGTGCCTGTGAGATGAGTTAAAGTTAACAAAGTTTATTTGAGCAAAAAGATTCTAGGAGAGGACAACATTCCCAACTGAAGTTGGTTCTGGATGCCATAGCGCCACCTACATACAGGCTGTATTTATAGCTGGAGGAAAGGAAGGCACAGTGGCATACCAAAGCCACCCGAATGGCTGAAGTTCAAATTTGGCTTTTATGGGCACCTGTTAGCCTGTTAGCCTGTTAGCCTGTGATCAACTGAAGCTCCAGGCCTGTGATTGACTGAGACTCAGTAATCTATGACAAGAATGTAGTCTTGAATTAGTTTACACTTTGTTTATATGCTGTTGTTCTACAGTTCGCTTCAGAGGAAAGCCGCTCTGGGCCAAAGCGTGTCACTGAAATCCATAAACAGACAGGCTACATTTATCAGCTTAACACTTTCTTATGTTCATCCAGAGGGAGCCCTACAGCGAGGTGCATTGCTTGTCATAAAGGGGATAGTAAAATCTAGAAACTTGAGGAGAAATGGTAACTTCAGCACAAATGACAAGTGTTTGGGTCTGCCTGAAAATAGAAGTTGAAATGCAATGTCTGCCCAAACCAGGCCCTGGATGTAAGACTCTTTGAGTGAAGCAGAAGGAGTAAAGCCTCCACAGCACACAGATCTGTAGGACAGTTGTGTATTACCACATAGTACCCAAAATGCAGTGGAGACATTTAAGATGAAAATTAATGCCCAATGAATGTATCCCAGTGGGGCCTGTGAGGTAAGTCAATATAAGAGGATTCTCGAGATTGTTGACAGACTGGGATTTCTCAAAAGTTGTCATTGTTTGCTGACATTGACTGAAGAATTATACCTAAAATTCTAAAACATTTTTAATTGCTTTAGTTAAGCTTATCTTTAAAAACCTTCAAAGCGAATGAAATCCGTAGTTTAAGTCTTAGCATTTTATGAAATTAATATCAAATTTTTCCAATATAATAAACCAAATAATATTATATTAAATTATAGCACTAAACATGAGTGTTTTACTGTCACCTAAATTTTATATACATTGATGACTATGGCATTCTAAAGTTAATTATATGTTTATTAATATGAAAGTAAAATGTAAAGACAAAAATAACTAAATGTTAATAGGTCAAAGAAAACCCTACAGGAGATTGTGACTATGAATTGTAGAGGATACTTAGCTAGTTCCATATTTTTGTATTTGCTACTGCCAGAAAATCTAATCCAAATTTTAGACATCAGCTTTTCTATTGTGTACCATTTTTACTTTTTATCCTTTTTGGAGTTATGAAATGCTTTTCTATGTGAAAATGAAAATTTACTTGAACAACATAAGCAATTTAGAACCCTCAAATACTTTTTTACTCATAAATTTTGAGAAAAAAGACAATTTTGTATTCTTTTGTCTTATAAAATATTTATAGAACATTGACATAACAAACATTAGTGAAACAGAAATAATTTTTCAATGAATGATAGCCATTATTTGGTTTCTTCTCACTAAAATTTCAGGCAATATAAACCAAAGATTAAGAAAACTGTTGTAAAGCTGAATCTAAAATAAATATTAACAAATGAATGTTTACTTACAAAAATTAAGATATATATATTCGAATGTTAAACGAAACTGAAACTAGGGCCTGGCTAAGCAGGGTCTGGGTACACTGAACTATTTTCTTTTAGTAAGGTCATGTAGATGTCTTGGATGATTCTTTAATGTGATGTTAAGTGCAGTGAAGTCTGTTAACTGTATCAACACACAGTTTTGTGAAAACATTGTTAGATATTTGAAAACAATGACATTTTATATGTATCTGCATATTTCATATATATTTAATATGATATTTTGGACTAAGACTATATTTTAAAATTCTCAGGTTCCTATTAGAGCTATTCTGTATGCTTTAACAGTAATAAATGTGTTCTGCTTAGAATAAACATTTGATTCATCATTGAAATTTTCTGTATTTTTTGCATTTTTGTTATTCTTCTATTTCTTATTTTAGGTCTTCTGTACTGTTTGCCTTATGTTTTAATGGTTCAAATAGAAAGAGTTGCTCATCTAACAATTTTAGGAGGTAGAATCATAGAGAAATGTTATTTTTATACCCTATAATGAATAGTATGTGCTTTTAGCTGTACTATTTTGTGATTTTATAAAGTAGAAAATGTTATTCTCATTTTAAGAATGAGAAAATCTGGTCCCAAGGAGTTAAATACTTCTTTTTTTTAAATCCTGTCTAAGTAGCAAAGTAAAAACATGCCTCTACCAGTAAGTCCCAGTGAATGCAAGCACAAGTGATAGGGATCTGAGTAAGGAAAATAGTGTGGCATGTTAGTGTGTGTGTGTGTGTGTGTGTACACGTGTGTGTGTGTACACGTGTGTGTGTGTACGTGTGTGTGTGTGTACGTGTGTGTGTGTGTGTGTGTGTGTGTGTGTGTGTGTGTGTGTGTAGGGGAATCATTTGGACAGAGGCATGCCATGTGTAGCAATCATTTGTTGGTTGCATAGAACATACTTTCCTAAATGATGTTATGAAGATGTTTCTGATTTTCCTTAGGAGCCAGCCTTTGTTAACACTTCTTAAACATAGATTTGTGAAAAATAACGATTTGTCTTTACTGAATACATTGTGTTGGCTGTGAATTTAACTCAGGCAAAAGATGAAATAGTCAAGTAATTATATTCAAAGTTAATCTATATAAAAATGTGGAGATCAGTGATACTGACATTTTATATGAATAGATAATCTTCAAGCTTCCTCTGAATAACCAGAATAGTTAAGTAAATGCCAGGATCCTCGTCTGAAACTAGACTGGGCCAGAGATAGGAAATTATTTTTGACAACCTATGGTAAAGGAGAGAGAGAAGAGAAGGAAAAGGGAGAGATGAAGAGGAAAAAAGATGTGAAACAAGGTCTTCCTGATTCTTACTGTATAACAGAAACCTGTTTTGAACTATTGAATCTGAAATACCTAATCTTGCGAACAAGTAATCCTGAGTAACAGAATCTCTGAATCTCTTCTATGAACTATAGCAAAGGTAATTCAAAGCACTGTTGAGAATTGAATGACCTGATGTTCATATTCAAATATACAGTTGCTTCTTGATCATACTATTTGAATTATGATAATGTGTCACTTTAATCTGTCCAAGTTAAATTTGTTTAAATACCCACATCTCCAAAGGCTTCTCTTTCTGTAGTTTTCCCATTCTGCTAAATACATTTTTCTGATGACTCAGTTATTTAGGCCCCAAATCATAATTTTTTTTCTTTCTTCTTCCTTGCATATTTCACGATACATCAACAATGTCAACTTTTCTATCACATTTATTTTTTACCAAAACCAATCACTTTTCTCCTTTTTCTTATTAGTGCCACTATCATTGGCATTCTAAATATAAGCTATTTATATACAGGATCCACCAAAAAATGTATATATTAGGAAAATAAAAATTGGTACAAATATTTTAATACTAAATTTCAGATATTATGAGATCAATACAAGTTACATTTTGCCTATACTATTACAAGAGGTGCTCAAAATGATGGCCATTAACTTCCAGACTGTGTTGGTAAGGCAAACAGCTAAAGTATGTATACCTCTTTCGGCAGACTCTATATTTCATGAGATTATTTTGAAAACCACTTGCTAGGCTAAATGATGTTATTCCTTCTATTTTTGTATTATAATAATTGTTTTGTTTTCATACTGCCCCACCAATATGAAATGTTTTGTTTTGTTTCTATTTTTGTAATATAATAATTGTTTTTTTTTTCATATTGCCCCACCAGAGAGCCGTTCTGTAATGTATTTCACTGGTTCCTTAGACCTGGCTTTGTCTAGTTCTGTAAGGTGCTAGAGTTTCCTTCCTGGCATTTTCCAATCACTTTAAATATATTTAAATATATATATTTTTATTTGATCTTGCTTTTTACCCACTAAAATGAAAGGCATGGACTTTTTCTCTTTAATTTGGAACAATGCCTGACCTAAAATGATCCTCTACCTGTACTTGATAGATAGCCAGGTAGCTCTTAAGCTCTTAAGCAAATGACTGTTTAGGTTACCCTCTCCTCCACTTTCTTTAAAGTATGCTTTGCCATCTCTTTAGTCCACACTGCTTCATATGTTTTGGTAAATTTCCTGTTAAGTTGAACTTTGCCATTAGGAACTTCTCTTTAAGTACACACTGGAATTGAAGAATGAATGAATGAATGAATGAATGATCAAACACCCCAAGAAATATTTGAGATTTTCCTGTAGTCATTAAGTACAATAATACCTTGAATATTGTAAATTTTATGGATAATGGAATCGATATATATGGCCTTGCAGTGCATTTAATGCTTAGTAATAAAGGGTTTATTGTGTGAGCCTTGTCTGTTAAGTAGTTCATGTCTATCAACAACTAAATTTTGTATATTTTCAGAGATCATCTACAGCTGGGTATTTAATGAATTCCCTTCCTTTGTGGTGGAAGACAGCCGGCGGTTCATTTCCCAGGAGACAGGCAACCTTTATATCTCTAAAGTGCAAACTTCAGATGTTGGAAGCTACATTTGTCTGGTGAAAAACACAGTAACGAATGCTCGGGTCCTTAGTCCTCCAACACCACTCACTCTGCGGAATGATGGTAAGTAGCACAACCCAGAATAAAATGTTCAGGCATCTCAAAGGTGAAAGGCAAAGATGCATTAGTGTTTTCCCAAATATTTATATTAGGTAAAAATAAAATTTAAAAAAGGTATTTGTAATATTTAGAAACTCACCATATTATTCACGCCTAAGAATAAATTTTTGCTATGGAAGAATGATGATGAGAACTATTCACCATATTGTTACTCTAATGTCAGAAAAGGGGAGAGAATATCTGAGAAGAATGGCAATAAAGACTCCACGGTACTTTTGTTTCCTCTTTAGTGCCTCTATGCAGAGTATGTATGTGAATTGTGAGATTTTATATGTTCACTTTCCATTTCATTTTTATTTTAGCTACTTTCAAATTGAATGCTCAGCATTTAATACCTCATGGTATAATTATAATTGTTATTAGTACTTTCCCAATAATGGGAATGGTTGGAACTGTAACTTTTAAGTATAACTCCTGCATGTGTGATGATGCTATAATTATAGGTACTGTCATCTATCTAAAGCACCTTTACATTTAAACACCTCATTTGTATTTAAAGAGATTTACAGTTAAGTATTGCATTAAAGAAGTCAAGTACTATATTACAATTGATATATGATGTGCAGTTTATACTGTCATGCAACAAAAAAGTCTATGAAGACATTATTAAGAAGTGAACTTTAGAATCCTGAATGATTTTGACATTTAAAAATAATCTACTTCAACACAGTTCTTTTACAGCCTTGCTTTCAGAGTATATGGTGATGGATTGTATGGCCTGAGCTATAGCAGAAGAATTTTGCTTAACCCTTAGTGTGTGAGTGTGTATATTTGAATGTAAACACTATAAAGTCAGTGCATAAGTGCGTCTTTATTTGGTGTATCTAATATAAATAGACATAATTATCTGAAATTGGAATATACAATTTAAACACAATAAACCTAATATTAGAAAGACAATGTAATAAGATAAAGGCCACACAACTAATATCATGTATGAATAGGTAGAAAATGAGAATATCAGAGGCTACTGAACCAAGAAGTAATAAAGGACAGACAAAAATACTGACAGGAGTATTTGAGAGTAGGAAACATGACTGGGATATTAAGGGAATTGAGTTACCAGGATTTGATAGTAAATTGGATATAAGGCTCTGGACAAGTAGGCAGCTAACGTAAGGACAGCTTTAAGACACTGACATGGTTCATCAGACGGGTAATGTTTCTTTCCACCAGAAGAGAGAACACAGGTGGAGGTGCAGATTTTAGAGTGGGTCAGCCTGAGAAATTCAATTTTGGATATGATGGGATAAGTGGGTCCATATCATATGAGAAGAGTAAATAATGAAAATACTTTGAGAGATAGTGAGAAGAAAGTAGACCTATAATAGAAAAATAATAGAGCATAGTGTCAAGGAAGACAAAGGACACCAATTTCAATAAGAAGTGGAAGGGACCTGCCTTGGAGATGGAGAACTGTATGCATGTGTATATTGCCTGTCTTGCTTTGCTGAACATACAAAGAAATCTGTATCATCAGTGAGAATGCTGAAAGAGGTGAGGAGCATCACTAGCAGAAACCAACAATAGCAATAACAAAAAACAAATAAAAAAGGGTGTGTGTTTTAAAAGTCAAGGGACAGGAAAAACTAACACTTAGAGTAAAATTTAATGGATAAGCAAGATTCGAACCCATGAGTCCTGAACTCAGATTTAGCACTAAGGTATGCAATTGAACAAAGGGGGATTTAATGGCAACTGTTAGATCGAAATGTTGGTTTTCTTTTCCAGCTCTTCATACAAAATGACAAAAGTGTATCTCAGTAGTATGAAACTAAGCTTTTAACATGAATGATGAGATGATGATCAAAAAGTTTCTTACTCTGACTTTTGAGTGTTTCTGCCTGAGAGCCATCTCTTGCCTAACATCAAAGCACAGATTCATTGTCAACTTGTATCACTTCTCCCACATACATACTTCAGAAGGGAATCAACTCTAGATAAACCAACAGGGAACTCACACCAACATCCAAATTTCTCAGACTTCATATTTATTTGCTATCTTAGTTAACAGCTATGAAAAATTGTTGAACTTACCAGGTAGTTATGAAAACCACAGCATACAATGTATAAAAAAACTTGAACTTCTTAAAATTACAACAAGCAATGCATAGTAGACTGGAATCATTTTAATTCAAAAATTTTGTATCACTACTTGCTCTCACTTTAAAACTATAATTAGATGGAGAAAGGGGGAAGGGAAATTAGAGGAAAGGATTGAAAAATAATTGAGATGTGATATATACATATACAAATGCCACACTGTGAATGTAGTAGTTATGTACTATAAATGTACTAATGAAATTTTTAAAATAAAACTATATTATTATTGGAAATATACTCGTATAAAGGACACATTCCTGAATGTTTTCCCAAGTAGACAACACATATTAGATACTTCCTCTGAAAATAAAAATAGAATGTGATTGTGGATGGGTCCATTTATTGCACTGGAGTCAGCTGAAATTCCTGCTAGGTTTTAGAAATTGCACAGTGCAGAGATAGGCATTATAATAAATGTTTCTGCAAACTTTGCAAACACCTCTGCAGGGGTTTGAATATAAAAATTACATTTAATCTGCTGTGACCATAGAGTTAGCTATAAAAATCATTTTAAGAAATTGTGATTTTACACTTCTCTGAAAAAAAAAGCATAGCCTTTTCTAAAAATAATAAAGGAAAGATGGTCAAAATTTGCTTGTCAAGTGCAACTGTAATTTGACTTAATAAACTTTTCAGTGGAGTGTGTGTACTTTTAGCTTGGGTTCCCTTAAAGAAAATCTAGAAACAAAATCTACTTAGAGTATTTCTTAATTCAATTCCCTGAAAGCAAGAGTAAATGTTAGGATAGATACAAATGAAACAATAAAAAGTGGGCCCTGCTACTGTTGCCCACTGGGAAGCTTGATGGCACAGGACTAAGGTCTTACTCAGTGGCCTCAGAATGGTCATGTTGATGGAGGTGTCAGTGGGCTTCCTTCTCCACTTCCTGAGAGTGATGTCACAGGCAGTGCAGTGTGAACTCCTTCACTCTGCATGGTTGCCCTCAAATTGTAACCTTTTGAAACTGGTTGCACTTGCATAGGACTAGTGACAGAGCAGGAGTGGAGAGTAATAGTCTGGTCAAAACTAGCTGGACTGGTACACAAAAAGTATCTGAAACATGGAAAGGCAATCTGTAGTTTTCATAGCCCTAGCACAATCGCTAATAGAAAGGGGCTCTATTTATCAAACACCCTAATATTAAGGACTTAGTATTTTTTACCATTATCTCTTTACTCAGACAATATGTTGCTTCCTTCCTGCAACACATATGTACATAAATGTGTAAGGCTTTTGAGGAGCTCATGGACTACTAAGACAACTTTTACTTGCAGTGCTATAGAATGATATATAGACAAATGTGGCTATAATGGTAACCTCTAATAAAACTACCCTTTGCAAATGATGCACAATGCTTCCTGAAGTAGGTGACATTTAAATTATCACTTTGTGGGCAAATAAAGAGAAAGCATTTGCATATTTGCAAACACAAGTATAAAATAGAAAGCCACTGATGTAACTGCAGTTCACAATAACTAAAAGACAAAGCAGTAGGGAGATGAGAAAGATTTGAAGGAACAAAAGGTCGTGTCATGAAACCCTGGTTGATCATGCTATTTTCAAAGCAGTGGTAAAACTCTGAAACATTTGAAGTGTATTATGTTCACAGATATGTATTGCACACCTATAATCAGATACTTCATTATGGGCCAGAAGTATAATGAAGGACCAAAACAAACATAATTGTCCTGTGTAGTTTATACCCTAACATGAATGAAAATATTACCCTCCAAAGTGACACAGATCCTGTGTGTAATTGTGTATCCTAGGTTCCACCTGCCTCCCTCAGTATCGTCATGAGTCTTTTTTCACCTGTCACTGAACTAAAAAGAAAGAAAGAAAGAAAGAAAGAAAGAAAGAAAGAAAGAAAGAAAGAAAGAAAGAAATCTAACTACAAAAATTTTTGATTAATACAAATTTTCACTGATGGTATGAATTTTCACTGAGATAATGAATGATGTCCTGGCACCTCAACCTGTCACTGAACTAAAAAGAAAGAAAGAAAGAAAGAAAGAAAGAAAGAAAGAAAGAAAGAAAGAAAGAAAGAAAGAAAGAAAGAAATCTAACTACAAAAATTTTTGATTAATACAAATTTTCACTGATGGTATGAATTTTCACTGAGATAATGAATGATGTCCTGGCACCTCACTTAACAGCAGACTCTATTAAATACCCCTTTAAACACATTTCTCTGCCAAGTTTTCATTCCTCAGCTTCCATCTGCCCCCACAACACCTCCTAGAGGGCCAAGGGCAGGGTCTCACTGTATCCGTCCCATGAGGTCATTTGATGCTTCAATTTTCTCCTCTCATTTAAATTTCTAGAAAACTCCTGAAGACATTTTTAAACTTATTTTTATTTAATCAACATGTTAACTGCATTTGAGGTGCTGTTTTAAAAACTTTACGAGTTCAGAAAATGTATAGGCAACTATTAGATAAGAAGTTGGAGCTATTATATTAATTTCATAAAACTAGGATGTATATTTCTAGGGAAAAGGAGGATTACTGTGTTATGACCATGAGTTCATTTCTCTGGGAAAATACAGCAAAGTTGTATATACCTACCCAAATTCATTGTATTCAGAGTTAGACTCCTCAGTCTTCTCCCAGTTCAAATGGGTTTTTCCCTTTCAAGATTGGCCTAAGGCCTTATTGTCCCTGGGGCCATGTTGGGTCTGCAGTGGTAGAGAGAGGATACACTGCAAACAAAATAAAAAGAAACACACCTTAGGCCCTTTTAAACTCTGGAATAGGGTACAGCAAAGAGAGAATAATACTGAACTCTAGTCCAGAATCGTTGCAGAAAGACAGACTAATATCAGAAAATTTATCAGGGAA